TTCGATCAGTGGAATTGGTCGTCAATTGGTCAATTCTGGGTCGTCCTATTTGAAGTTTATACCACTCCTGGTAAATTCATTACAAATCAAGAAATGCATTAATTTTTTTGGAGATGAAAGATTCGCTCCCAAAAACGAACAAGAAGAAAGAATCGTGGAAGACTGCTTTCAAAAAAATTTAGGATTTACTTAGGCTTGATCGTAATACTCGAATTATCCTGAAATTTAATGCCATCCTTTGAAAAGAAACAAAAGCTTGTAATGGACATTTGGTTACCGTGTGACTTAACAAGAAGACGGGTGCTTTTCTATACCATATACCTTTGTTGTGCTACAGGTATGTGTTGAATTTTGTTATCTGCTTAAGAACTTACGACCCTATTTTTGGATGGCTTCCAGCTATTTGTTACCTTGGGTTTACCATTACCATGGTCGAATTAATTTTAGCAGGTTTACCTTATCATGCCGCCAGTCGTCTTAAAATTTTAAAGTATAATTTACTTAATCCTGAAAGAGATACAACGAAAATTAAGAGTAATTGTAGAATTACATTTGAAAACGCGGAAAGAATTTTCAAAGATTGTGTTACACTTCACAACAAAGTCCTGGAGTAAGAGAAAAATAGAACGTACCTAGGAGTAAGATATTCATTTGGATTAAATTTTAGTTACATTGCCCAGTTTGAGGATAGTTTCTCGTGGATTTTATTTTTTCCGATTGCTGCGATCACATTAGGTTTGTGTTTTTGTTGCATTGGATTTGCCTCGGTTAGTAAAAATTCAGAATAAAATTTAATTATTGTTTCATACAAACTCGCAGGGTTCCGCAACAATAGCTACAGATTTTTTTATACTCATACTATGTTATATATACATATATTTAACTTGCCAGCTGTTGTTTTACTGCCATTATGGGACGGTTTTAACACAAGAGGTATGTTTTAATTCTGTTTTGTAAATTAATTCATTAATTATTATTATTCTATTTATTGCATTTACTTTAAAAGTCAAGCCACATTGTCAGCAATAACTTTTAAATTTGAAAATATGTTTTAAATGACGATTCCATTTTTATATAAATATGTTGGAATAATAGTCCACCGAGTCGACTCTCAATGTCTTCTCAAAATTAGAAAACGTATTTTATGTTTGTAAATTGTAAATATAACTTGGTTTACATTTTTTTACTAATTTGTGTCGTAGCACTGATACGAAACGTGGAAAACTGAAATCACTAATTTGTTAAATGCAAAATATTTAAAATATGAAAAAAGAAAACATTTTCTAAATTATATCATGTGCATAAGTGACTTAGAAAAACATTGGCAATATCACATTTTGGATAATATCCATTAGAAACGTAGTATTTTCATCTTCTTCTAAAATATGTGTTAAAGAAATACACTTACCATTAAAACATCGTTTACAGTAAGATTTCAATATTAAAGACCAAAATTAAAGCAAATTTTTAAGATTTTTCATTCTAACTGATTAATATTTAAACTGGAAATCAATGTAAATCTTGGATGTATTTCTACCACGCTAACATTAAGCCAAATAATTTTTTCATGCATGTTATAGTCCAGTCAAATTAGCGATCAACCTCGGAATGAGAGATAATAAGCTGAATTTTCGTATATACCTTCATTTTAGCGTTCTAAAAGTTGTCTCAAAAGTCTCATAAAATCTCGTGTCTGCGTCGTAAGTTATTCAAGGTCAAAGGTGAAGAAAAACAGTTTTTTGCGATTATCTCGGTTTCTATTGCTCCAATGATGTTAACATCTATTATCGTAATTGTAGATCACAAAATTTGGGACAAATTTTATTTGAAACATTTTTTCATGCGCTCAATCGTTTCTGAGATAGAGGGCAGTGAGCGCGCAGCGCTCATCCATACGTACTGTAATGCAATCAACCGTGAATATCTGTGAATAGTACCTTTAATTTTGAATAATTTGTATTATTTATCAGTTAATACATTGCATTTAATAACATTTTACATATTTTCAATACATTCATTTAATGATAATGATACTTACCTACTTTGTGGAATTAAAAACTCTTTAAATGAAATACTTATTGCATGTAGGTATATCTTAATTTATTGAAAGTAGATTTTAAGTAGAAAAATAATTAAGTACTTTATCTTTCAAATGTGTAAGTTTTTATATATTAGACAATATATTATACTTGTTATATTATTATATATCTAAAAGTTATATTAATTTTTTCAAAGTAAAAATTTAAGGAAGTAAAACGAGTTAATGTATTTTAATTTTATCTTTGTTCAGTACCTGTACATTTCTTACGATTGAAATTGAATGGCAGTGAAAATCTAGAAATCTTTAATAATTTAAAGAACAAAAGTATTAATTTTCTTCTTCTTCACCGTCATCTTCTGGACGTTCGGGAATTTCTGTTTCATCGTCATCATCTTCGGTGCCCTGAATCGTTGTTTCCAGACCTTCCAGTTATAATCATGATAGAAAAATAAGTATTTAAAACCTTACACATTTTAAAGATATAAATAAATTGAGATATACAATAAATATTTCATTAAATGCGTTTTTAATTACACAAAGTAGGTAAGTATTATTCAATGAATATGTTGAAAATATATAAAATGTTTAAATACAATGTATTAATTGATAAATAATACAAATTTTTCAAAATTCAAGGTAGTATTCATAGATATTCACGGTTGATTGCATTACAGTACGTATGGATGAGCGCTGCGCGCTCACTGACCTCTATCTCAAAAACGATTGAGCGCATGAAAAAATGTTTCAAATAAAATTTGTTCCAAATTTTGTGCTCTACAATTATGATAATAGATGTTAACATCACTGGAGCAATAGAAACCGAGATAATCGCAAAAAACTGTTTTTCTTCATCTTTGACCTTGAATAACTTACGACGCAGACACGAGATTTTATGAGACTTTTGACACAACTTTTAAAACGCCAAAATTAAGGTATATACAAAAATTCAGCTTATTATCTCTCATTCCGAGATTGATCTCTCTCTCTCTCGCCCCAGAATGCATAAAATTGACCCAAACGTCTCCTTTTCCTAATCTGAGACAATTCTGCATGCTCTAAGTGTGTTTCGTCGCTCAGAATCATCAAAAAATGTTGAAATATAGTTCAGATTTAATAAAAATCGACAAAAATACTGTTTCTAGCTAAAATTTGATGGTTTCGCTGCTCTTTCCGAGCTCGTAAGGTTTCTGATTGGCTTAAAACTACAAGAAAACACTTCAAAAGTGACGTTTCTGAAGAATTTTAACAATTTTCTTGTATCTACGAACGCCAGAATGCATAAAATTGACCTAAACGTCTCCTTTTCCTAATGTGAGACGATTCTGCATGCTTTAAGTGTGTTTGGTGGCTCAGGACCATCAAAAAACGTTGAAATATAGTTCAAATTCAATAAAAATCGACAAAAATACAGTTTCTAGCTAAAATTTGATGGTTTCGTTGCTCTTTCCGAGCCCGTAGGGTATCTGAGTGGCTTAAAAGTACAAGAAAACACTTCAAAAGTGACGTTTCTGAAGAATTTTAACAATTTTCTTGGTTCTACGAACGCCAGAATGCATAAAATTGATCTAAACGTCTCCTTTTCCTAATCTGAGACGATTCTGCATGCTCTAAGTGTGTTTCGTCGTTCAGAATCATCAAAAAATGTGGAAATATAGTTCAGATTTAATAAAAATCGCTCTCTCTCTCTCTCTCTCTCTCTCTCTCACGTAATTTCCGAATTTACTAAACGGATTGTTGCCAAATTTTGTATGTCTATTAGGAATAAGTATAATGTAGATGGTAAAGAGCTAATCAAAATCTCGTTAATCATCCTCACCAAAAATTTGATGACGTTATTTCAAAGAATTCTATTTTAAAATAATATAAATGTTATACAGTAATATTGTCACGACTGAGGTGTTCTAAGGGGTTGGTAGAGCGGGGTAAAAAAGCCCAGTTCGTGAGTTTACGTTATTTCTATTGATAATTCAAATACAAAAAAAACTACTTACTGTTTTGTTGGGAGAAACATGTCACAGGTTCTTTTTCTTTCTCTTGCCACAACCCAACTGCCGTCCACCCGCTCTCGTCAACCCCACGAAGCCCTTGCAGTGTCAGCAACTATCCCTACTGTCGGTATGTGTCGACACTCCATGGCCTCGATGGAATCATTGCGAGCAGGGTGTTTGGCAATCCCATCGTAACTAGGTCACATATTTATGTGACTGTGACATATCTCCCCCCCCTAGAGAACACTGGACCCCAGTGTTCCTTTTGTACAATCTAATCTTAAATACTAATAACAACAATATAAATATTCTAAGGGTAACAATAATTAAAGCAACCAAATCACAATGATGACAGTTTCCCTGGCCGACTTCTGACACATGGGAGTGGGTGAACCCTCGACCCTGAACACCCGTTCCCCTACGAGCTTATCTGAATTGTAGGTCCAATCGCACAGTCGTGGTGGTAATGCAGCGTGCTGAATATCAGCAGAATGAGCGAACGTAGAGAAAATTCCAGTTTTCAGAATCGCGTTGCCAACGTGGACATCCCTTCCAGTGTTATTTCTGAGGCCGATACAGACATCATCGTCGGAGAAGAGGACGCCAGTACACACAACAATGTTTGAGGCATATCCTCCAACGGCTTTTAAGTCCAAAGAAGAGGTTATCCAGAAGATCACACTGCTGAGAGGCAATGAAGAGGCAATTGGACTTCTTAGTGCTTCGGTTCTGGAAGTTCCGGCACCATGAGACAGCTCGAGAGTACTGAGGTGCAGAGATCTCTGGGGATTACAGCCATCGACTGGTGTTCCCGCCTCCTTTTTGTGCTCGGTTGGATGTAGGGGCCAGGGAGCAACCATTAATCATGAAACAATATGAACCAAAATTATTACTGACTACCTACTAATGATTATCCTAACCCTGATAATTCTTACAATTTTAACTTCTTAACTTAATTAATTAATAGTAAACAACCAATGGTGGGGCCAGTTGATGACTGTACCTGCAGCGTACAGTGGGCAGGGCAGTTTTAACGTAACCTAAGAATCTCAAAATTCGTGCAACCGTCAAAACAAAGCATTCCTAACCCCCATTCCAACCACCCTCATCATTCCTTAGCTCATTAGTAAGATGACGTGTTAGCCTGCAAGTGTTTCCTTTAAAAATGTGGCGTTTGTGTGCTTTAAGTGTTTGTTTACTAGCTCTGGGTGTGATCGCCCAGAATGAATGGCAAGCAAGGGATGCTTTCGACGAAGTGCGTCGTGCCATGGACAGAGTCAACAAGTATAACTGCGAAATTCAACACGTAGGAGACTTATATTTACCAGAAAACTCTGTCTCTCACATCCCAGATATCAAAGATGTGAACATCAACCCTGTATTCCCCAATAGAACGCAACTTTTGCATATTCATAATATAGCTCTGAGCAGAGCATTCTTCTGGAGTTACATTCTTCAGAGCCGTTTCATTCGGCCAGCTATAAATGATACATATGACCCAGGAATGATGTACTATTTTCTTTCGACTGTAGCTGACGTCTCCACCAACAAACACGTCAACGCTAGTGCTGTCTACTTTTCGCCTAATATGTCTTATTCCTCTTCATATAGAGGGTTCTTCAATAAGACATTTCCAAGATTTGCCCCTAGGACATTCAGAGCTGATGATTTTAATGACCCTATACATTTGGAACGCATTTCGACGTTAAATACATTTACTGTGAGGGATTTAGGGGCTGTGCCTATTGATACCAGTGAGGATTATACGTCGGATTTTTATAGAATAAATGAGTGGTATAAGAGGTGGTTGCCAGATAAAGTATTTGAGAGGCATGATATCAAAACTACATATCAGATTTTCATTAGATATGCTAATAATACGAATGAGACGTTCACGTTTCATGGGCCCCCAGGAGCGGATGAAAATCCGGGGCCTGTGAATTGGACTAGACCATACTTTGATTGTGGAAGATCTAATAGATGGCTAGTGGCAGCTGTAGTACCCATTGCTGATATTTATCCAAGACACACGGGATATAGGCATATTGAATATCCAACTTACACGGCAGTATCAGTGGTGGAGATGGATTATGACCGTATAGACATTAACCAATGCCCTTATGGTTTGGGCAACAAAGAGGGGGGAAATATTTTCGCGGACACAGCTCGATGTAAAAAAGAAACGACAGAATGTGAACCACTCCACGGTTGGGGTTTTCGCCGTGGTGGTTACCAATGCCGATGTAGACCTGGTTACCGCCTTCCGATGCAAATGCGTAGACCGTATTTAGGCGAAATAGTAGAACGAGCAACATCTGAACAATATTACAATGGTTTCAATTGCCTTAAAATAGGATGGGTACAAAAAATGCCCGTCCAGTGGGAAAAAGCGACATCTCCAGTTCGAAATTACTACTTGGACCGTTATCCGGAATATCGTCATGCTGTTTCTGGTCCTGCAGCCTTAGGCCAGTCCAAAATTAATGTACACAGAACTTTAGATTTCATTTTGGGAATGAATAAAAACAACTGCCGTGAATATAAACATGAGCAGTTGATTCTAAATGGTGGTGTTGAGTATGGTGCTTATGAGTTTTTCCAAAACGAAGCAAAGATGGCGCTGAGGTTGGCTAACTTTATTAGTGCGTTTTTGCAAGTGTCGGATCCGAATGAAGTTTATTCGGGGAAAAGAGTTGCGGATAGACCACTAACCGAGGATCAAATGATTGGAGAAACTTTGGCTATTGTTATGGGTGATAGTCGAATTTGGTCGGCAGGAACATACTGGGAGAGGAATAAATTTACTAATCGAACACTGTTTGCACCGTATGCGTATAAAACACAGCTTAATACTAGGAAATTCAGTGTTGAAGATCTTGCCCGGCTCAACAAGTCAGATGAAGTATATTTGAATAAGCCGTGGTTTTTAACCCTGAAGCAAAGGTGGTTAACGAACTTCGACAGTTTAGAGAAATTTTACATGAAGATCAAAATTCGTTTCAACGAAGCGGGTGAAACAACAATGAAATACGAACGATACCCCAATTACTACAGAGGAGCACAATTACAACACGGACTGTGGACGGCCCCTTACTATGACTGTTACGGAAAAATGCCCATGTGGAAAATAAAATGCCCGGCGCCTCCACCATATGTCACGACTGAGGTGTTCTAAGGGGTTGGTAGAGCGGGGTAAAAAAGCCCAGTTCGTGAGTTTACGTTATTTCTACTGATAATTCAAATACAAAAAAAACTACTTACTGTTTTGTTGGGACAAACATGTCACAGGTTCTTTTTCTTTCTCTTGCCACAACCCAACTGCCGTCCACCCGCTCTCGTCAACCCCACGAAGCCCTTGCAGTGTCAGCAACTATCCCTACTGTCGGTATGTGTCGACACTCCATGGCCTCGATGGAATCATTGCGAGCAGGGTGTTTGGCAATCCCATCGTAACTATAGGTCACATATTTATGTGACTGTGACAATATACTCCTATATTAGTCCTACATGTGTGGTGTACAAAATAATAATATTCAGAACATCCTGTTCGACTATGATTTAATTATAATAATTTTAGTAGCCTGTTTTGAAACGACAAACTAATTAAAATCAAACAAATTTCTATATGTCTATTGACCAGTAAAGTGAATGACGCGCGAAATTTGAACTCAGTTCATAACACGAGACCCGTATTTCAGTTCCCCGTGTAATCCTTATGGGTGAAATCGAGGCGTCACTTTAACGCTTAAATTGTACCATTAAAGTAATTTTCTTATATATCCCACTACCTGTACCATTAAGACTGATATTTTTACTGTTGATCTTGATACCAAACATGAACGGAACCGGTAGTATTTAATAAATATTTAAATTCAACTTTTACCACTACATTTGCGTCGAACGTATGTCGTACAGTGGTTCATACTGCCATTGACTTCCCCCTCCACATAAATGGCTTTGATTTTCAGATGCTACAGATACGGCTGTGAATTTAAAATAATACATAAAGGAGATCTCATATTTGCAAATGTTTTCAATCAATTGCCAAATTTTGATTTAAGAATCATCATCAATCCCAAGCTTTTTTCTTTTCACACATTTTTGCTAGAAAAGGAAAAACTTAGCATTCCTGATTAAACCTTTCATGTACAAGTAAAAATCACTCTCATTTTAGTACGAATTGGGTCTGAAACACCCATTAAAAGAAAAATCACAATTTAAAGAACAATTTATTTCAAAACAAAAAAAAAGTATTTTACAATAAAAAATTGCACTTCCTAATGCAAAATCTGATTCACTTTTGGTGAAAAACTGACCCACAAACTGTTTTCTTGATGGGCCATTAAAATAGTCCTCGGACACTAATAGTTCTTCGACACTGTGAAGTAGATTTTCTTCAGATCTTTCTAGTTCAGGGCCCAATAGCAAAAGCAGTGCTTCGCTCCTATCAGTTTGTCCTAAGCTTTCATGAAGTTGTACCTCAACATTAGCTGTTTTTAGGCTGACTTGGGGATTAAAAGAATTTTCAGAGACAACAGCTCGGACCTCAGCTGATTCACTTTTCTTCAGATGTACGTCTCAAGCACGCAAATTATTGGTCCACAATACATTATAACGTCCGTGTAGGGCAGGTGTAGCCATATGATGATATACAAATGCACCTCTTGGGGTTTCACATGTTGCCTCTCTTAAGGAATATCTATGCATAATAAAACAAAATACGTCATAATTTTACTTGACACAGAATTTATCAATATACATTAGCTTACCATAATCTTCTCGCATTCTAGCTCGAATAAACTCTTCAAGCACATTTAATTCAGTATACCAATTGACTTTCGCTACATTATTTGACTGTAAAGAATTTTCTCCAACAAAAAAAAATGGCAATTGCCCCTATTGTTAACACATGTCTTTCTGTCATTATTAATAACAAATACAAAAAAACCAATCCACAGATACATACAACCCAATGTGAATCAATATCACAGAACTAATATATCATCCAAAAATTGTGATTATGATTGTTTGTTGTGATGAAAATACGAAATCAACTGGCATATTTTGGGGATTTTCACGATCTAAACGTCACTAGTACCGCAAAATATTCGCGTTCTTTTTCTTTCCCAAGTGTTTCTGGATTTTCCGTTTCACTCATGCGCAAGACGTTAGAAACGATGTACGTTACTTCGATGGATAGCGTTGTTTTTAATTTGCAATATATCTTTAACAGAAGCTTTTTATATAGTTAAACCTTTAGTAACAGGAAGATAATTGTACAGTCTTTATCGCTTGTAGCATGAACTAGTTAAGATTTCTACCTATGCGGCGTATTTTGTCTGTAAAATCAAGCTCCCATAAGAAACCCATAGTAGAATTTTTGAATTATGAACTGCCGCGCATTCTAAATTCTAACCTTACTTTACTGGTCAATTTTACATAGTCCGTACTTGTACAATTTGCACAATCCCTTGCAATTTGCTCCCCCCATGGCGGGGTTACTATTAATGCCACCGGTTTTTACTTAAAGGTCGCCGTGTTATTTGCGGCATGAACTTAGTTCGTGAGTTTTAAAATCTCTGGTACTTATCCTGTGCGCCATATTGACTACAACTATATACTGCAAACTCGCAAATTACAATGACTCTCTGCCAGACGTAAGATTGATACATAACAAACTGGATAGTTCTTAGCTTCTGGAATATGTTAATATTCATGTGCCTCGGTTAAGTGCTAGATATGGTTGCACTTTCGCGCTGTCCTAGTCTAGAGCAAATTTGTTACAATTCTCCAATGATTAGAGTATCTAGACAGGCCAATGAATTGTATAGTGATATTTTTATGTAGGTTACTAATAAAATGTGCATGGATATTTAAGTTTGTTTTTTTTTGTCTTTTTTCTTGTATCAATTATTAAGACTTTTATTGTGTATGCTTGCCCTCTAATTGGGTTACCGTCCGACAAATAAATTATTATTATTGTGGTCACCTACATTTAAAATTTCAAATTTGGCGCTACAACTAGATGGCAGCAGTGAGGAGGAAGCAGTACGGGACACAAGGGGATCTAAACAGAATTTTAATAAAACCGCTCGTTCGAAGATTAAAAATTAGTTTTACTAAAAAACCGACTACAATTTCAGGTGTGGGATGAACGACCTTAACATCGGAATGACCAATGTCCGATTTGTGTTTGTGAAGTGCTGATTCATGGAATAGTTACACGGATAAATGGTAGAAGAGTCAAGCACGTGGGAAATGTGAGGTTATGTCAACTCATCACGTTTTTCATAAAAGGAGAAGATGGCAAGAACCCTCCAAGAAGTGGAGTTGTGTGACGACGCTATTAAGAATGGTCCTTATGCATCGGTACGTACGCTATACGGCCTTGCCTTTGACGACGGTAGTCGGCTGAACAGAAAGAAGCTGTGTCAATGGACTGGTTTCCCTTTTGAGATCGCATCAGATGACTTCAATGAGAAAGTGGATGAGGTAGTGCAGAATTTTACGATCGCAGAACTTTGTGGAGTCGGCCTTCTACTGGGGTTGAATTGTGCAGGTACTCACCAAGAAGTGGCCGAGAGAATTTGTTCAGTGTTGACTGATTTTGATCTGTTTACACAAGAAAGAGTTGTTCAAGAACAAGAGAGTGAAGACGAGGACGACGAAGATGACAGTGATGATGGTCGAGCAGGCGCGGCAGCAGTCCCTACGTTCACCATGTCTTTCAGAGACATCGAAGATTCCGTACGCACTTTTAGTGGTGATGACAATTATGCAATCGAGACTTGGGTCGCAGACTTTGAAGATATCGCTAAACTTATGAAGTGGTCGGAACTGCAACGACTAGTTTTTGCGAAGAAATCATTAACTGGGCTTGCTAAGTTATTTATCCAAAGTCAGAGGAATTTGGGTACATGGAAGGACTTGAAACGCAGGTTATTGAGTGAATTTTCCAAGAAGGTGAGCACTGCTGAACTGCATCGCATGCTGAATAATAGAAAAATGAAAAAAGAAGAATCTCTCCAGGAATACTTGTTGAAGATGCGTGAACTCGCTTCAAAGGGTCAAATTGAAGAGGAGTCAGTAATCGAATATGTCATTCAAGGTATCAACGATGATCCTGAACACAAATTTTTGTTGTATGAAGCTAAAACTTATGTCGACTTAAAGAAAAAAATTGAAGTTTATGAGAAGATTAGAAAGACCCGTACACCTTCGACTCAATCTGTTGGTCAACGTTTCCGAAAGCATAACGAAAACAAAGGAACTTATTCTCCGGGGTCTGTAGGAGCGAAGGGCAGTAGTAAACCTCCTCCAAATCAGAACATAATTAGAAGATGCTATAATTGTAATGGTGTGGGCCATTTCGCCTCAAATTGTCCAATTCCGGTGAGGGAAAAGGGTTCCTGTTACAATTGCGGTTCAAAGGAACATCAGAAGAGGAATTGTCCAGGGAAGAAAAAGGAAGACAACACCACCAATGTGATATCAACCGAGACACAAGATCCCTATATGGTAAACGTTAAGATTAATGTTAAAGATGATTGTCAAACCGAATGTAGCTATAATTTGAATTCATTAATCGATACAGGTAGCCCAATTTCAGTTGTAAAAGTTCGGTATGTCACCGAAAATAATTTCAATGAAGGTCTAAATCCAAATTTAAATTTCGTGGGTGTGAATGGATCGAAGCTTGATATTTTGGGTATTTTTAACACGGAAGTATTTGTTAATGAAACTGTTTTACCCATTAAATTCTATGTAGTTCCTAATAGCACCATGTCCTTTAACGCTATATTAGGTAGAGATTTTCTCAATACCAAGGGTTTCACGTTTACGTTAGGAGATCATTTAAAAATTATTTCAAACGAATTTGAGAAAGTAAACAACTTTGACGAAATTTTACATGTCGATTTTAAGGTAGGTGAAGAAATAAAAAGTAACAAAGAAGTACAGATCAATCCTTGTTTAGATTATGATAAAAAAGTGGAAGTTTTGGAAGTGTATGATAATTTTTATTTATGTAATGACTCGCCAAAGATTGATTGTAATTACGAAATGAACATTTGTGTTAAGAATAATCAACCAATCTCTTTTAGACCACGGCGTTTATCCTTTTCTGAAAAAGAAAAATTACAAAACATGTTAGATGATCTATTAGAACGAGGCATT